ATTCACTCAGCAAGGTCTTGATGCCCCTTCCCCAAACTGCAACTAAACAAATAGAAGCGTCCAGAGATTTTTTTTATAAGCACAATGTAAAATTGGAGGAAGACAAAAAAAAAAAAAAAAAGAATGAAAACAGGGCTTGGAGTCCCTGGGGATGCCTCTTACCCAGTGGGCCCAGCGACTCATGACTCTCCTTCGCAACATGCTTGCAGAGCTCCTTCTGCCAGTCTTCCAGGCTGCCTTCCTGTTGCTCTGAGAAACACCCAGCCACCTCCTCAGTTGTCAAGGAAACCTGGAAGAATACAAGCCCCACACACCCTTTCAGAGAACAGCTAGAACCAGCTCCAAAACCAGTAGGTACCAGTGACCAAATCACTGGGCAAATGCTAGCTCCTGTCCATGTGGGTTTCAGATAAAAGGAAGGACCACTGGATGGGAACCAGGGCTCTCAAGGTCTCCTCTCATCTCCTATGCACACTTGCATCTTCTGTTCTATGTGTGAGCTACACGGAGGGCTTTCTGGTGATTTCCTCTACTTGAACCAGTTTTACTCTCAAAAGGTCATTCTGGAAGAAGACATACAACTGTTGGCACATAAACATATCGCTCCCAACAATGCCACTCTTGCCTAAGCAGACACCTTTTCTGACGTCCCAGACATTTCTTTAAGCTTCTTAAAGTTCTTTGGTGACTAGCATTAAGCACTAAGCGATCAGACAGGAGGCCTTTCTCCATTCTATTCATACCTTGGGGGCTTCCCCCTTGCTGCCAGGAGGCAGCCGCAGAACCCAGGAATTCCTGTTGCGAAGCTGGTTCTCCAGGTTTTCCAGCCGCCGCTGCAGCAGCCCGTACTCCTGCAACAGAGTCCCAAGCACGGCCCACTTGCCCTCCAGCTGGCTGCCAAACTCCACAGCTGTCTTCTCAAAATCAGCCAGCCTCTTCTCAGCTGTCCCTGCTCGTACTTCAAGGCTTTGCAGGTGGACAGCCTGAGACTCTGTTTTCTTCTCCACAGCCTGAACAGCAGCCAGGATTGCTAGTAGGGAGATCTCTGCAGACTGGATCTGGGCCTGTTGTTGGAGATCAGACCCCACATGCCAATCCTGTAACCAGGGACAAGGAGAGGAGTTGGCTGCCAGAAGGAGAGGGCCCAGAGCTATTCTCAGACAGAGGAAGATCAGGGTCCTCGGGAACATGGGAGACTTCTCTGGAGTTCCAGAATCCTCACTGGCCAGATCCTTGAAGTGACCCTATCTGACAGACAGCCAACCAAAGACAGTAGACATTAGACCCCACAGAATCTTCAACCAAGACCCCATACAATGGAAAATGAAATAGCAAGCATCCAAATGGATGGAGAGCAGAATAGATTTAATCTCAGCTCTTCTACTTATATTAGTTTTACCAATTATTTAACCACCTTTTCTTTCCTTGGGGACACAGCTCAGCAGGACATGAAATACAAAACCCAAGTCCACAAAACCTGCAATCAACCCTCATCTGCTTCTAGAGTAGCCTCCTCTACACTGGGCTTGAAAGTAAGTGAGGTCCTGCTGTCCCAGCCTTGGTGAGCTCTAAGGCCCTTCTACTCTGTCATCTACTGGAGTGTGAATCCCTGACCTGTTTGACATACCAAGTCTCTGCAACTAAGGTGTCTTATCACACAGTCCCTGGGCAGTCACCACACTGGGAGGCCTGACCCTAGGTGCCAGGAAGCAAGGGTCAGAGAAGATTAAAAGCCAACATCTTAATCAGAAGAAAATATTCCAAAGAATACCCCATCTACAAGAGGTAGGCAGTGTATTGTGCACCACTGTAAATATTAAAATGAAGACCCAAGAAATGCTTCAGTGGGGGCTGAGTGTAACAGCCCCCACTGCTCTTCTAGAACTTGAGTAGTGTGCCTATCTGCCATTACATCTGTGCAGTTTGAGGTGATGCCAAGCTATTCCACTAAGGCCCTGTTTTCTCAATTACAAGGACATCATGGCTTCCTTATCTCTTAAGGGGGTGGTGGATAAAATGCACTACACATTTAGAAAAAAAACCTGGGGTGTATGACAATGCCATATATTATACTAAAAATCAGGAAGGTCAGTGATCAGTGGCCAGAATAGGTTCTAAACTAAACACTGTAATTAATCCCATTTTGTGCAACTAATATTTCCCCAAGACCTCTTCCAAAAAGACACAGCAAAGTGCCCCACCCATATTAGATATTCATCATCAGACATCCATCCTTACCTTCCTCCTTTTACAGCATGATGGCACCAGCATGAGGTCTGACCACTGACCCACACAACAAAGTATAGGTAGCTGGGAGGAGGCAGTCTGCATGGATTAAGGGGCAAACACCCTCATCTCCCTGGTGCTTGCCACAATCTGGCACTGAGGAATGTCTCTAAAGCCATTTCAAAGCTACTGCTACAGGGAGATGCCTTGTACCTTCATACACACATAAAACCACAACAGTTCAGTCACACCAGCTAGATGGGAAAGGTCCAATCACGACCCTAAACTGCTCTAAACGGAAAGTCCTTTCTGTGCAGATCTCCTCCCAGCAGGAGTAGGAAAGACTTCCTGGGGGATCTTGGAAAACAGCGAGCAAAAATGCATCCATCCTGAATGGAATCAGAGTTCAGACCTGTGAGACCTCAGTGGATCCCACTTTGGGCAGGGACAAGACTCCAGCTACCAAGGCCATGAGGGCCTAGAATGGAGTGGGCCGTCTAAGATGGTCCATTACTGGGGGAGAAGGGAGGTGGGAAGCCCCGGAAAAGAGCCATTTGGTAAAGACGTCAGAACCGGCCCACCGGACATCTTTTGGTTTAAGTTCATCGCCTTACTGTATGGACGAGCGAAGTGGAGCCGAGAAGGGAGAAAGGCTTCATCATGTGACCCCAGGCGTGTTCGCCACGGGGACTGAGCCCTTCCCAATTCTAAGAGGTAGCAGGCGTAGGATGTCTGCCGCGGGTTCAAGAATCGGCGTGGAGCTGTCCTTACCGGAACCGAGGCCGCCTCGGCCATGGCTCGGTCGTCCCTTGTCCCAAGTGTCTGCAGCCGAGGCCCCGCCCCGGTCCTCTCCGCAGGCGGCCCTGCTTCCCCACTCACAGGACCCCGGAGGTGGCCGCGTCACCACCTCGGGATGCAACCTGTGCCCAGTCACAAGCCGCGGCGACGTCCCGCTGATCCACCACTGAGGGCCTGCTGGACCACAGGCCCCCCCAGGCTGGGCCCGCCCCCTCCTGGAGACAGCTTCCTATTGGCTACTACTGGAAGCCCCGCCCCCACCCCAGCGCTGCTGGCCCCCGCGACCCAGAACGGATCCTTATTGGCCAGCACAGGAAGCACTCGCCTTGCAGGTATGAACTCTGCGTGTTGCAGCTGCTTTTACCGGTGAATTCCTGCTAAGTCGTGACCAGCAACTCACTGGGGTCGCCAGCCGTGACTACCTAATACAAGCCACTCATCTAGAGACCAGGAACTAGGCACATGCTTATTCCAGCGTGTTTATTGAGCACCGATTAGGGTACGAGGTTGCCACCTTCATTGTAAGGACCTCACTCCCGTGGCCCAACCAGCTCCTTGTTTTATAAAATGAGGGAGCAGGAAGTCTGGGACTAAACCAGGACTCCCACCTCCAGATTGTGAAACACCACTGGACTCCGGCACTAAGCAGTCTTCACTTTAAACTTAGAGGGCTCTTTAACATGCCCTACGGAATTCCAGGGCAAACGCAATAGGCCTAACCCAGCAGCCGTGGTGGTGCAGGCCTGCAAAGCCCAGCACTAAACACAGAGGCAGGAAAGTCGCCGCAAGCTTGAGGTTAGCCAGAGCCCTATAGGGAACCGGCCTTCCCCACACACACACACCTGAACTCTGTACTTAGAATAACGAATACCTGTTTCAGAGGGCATTCAGCATTAGAAAACAGGCCTAGGAACATTAGCCCTGCACCTCTAGGAGAACACCTGAGACAAGCTCTTACTGCTAAGGGTTAAGCCTGGAACAGTTACTTATGCTACATACAGTCTGTCTGAGCATTTACTGGCAGCTGCTGTCTAGCTTGTGGGACCCCAGACATGGGTTGAGGAAGCAGGCAGGCAGGCAGCCTAGGCAATGCCTTTCCGGATCACAGCTGACCAGTCTTGCTTGACAGTAACCTCTGTCCCAGAGATGATGGCAGTTGTTACCCTCTGTCCCATCTCTGTTCAGTACTTTTAGAGGCAAGGAAGTAGCACAGCCCAAGTCTGACATCTGGGAGCAGGCCTAAATGTGCCCTGGTCTCTGAATGCCATGCAAGACAGTAACTATCAGGAGAGCTAGGATCCATGACCCCAGTTTCACAAGCGCTCACCAGGCTGTCTAGGCAGCACCCAAGGTGGTGTGGCTAAGAGGTACAATCAACCACTTCAAAGACTCTGAGGCCTGCCACTGTTGCCTCAACTTCATCTTGAGCCTGTGCTTTGGTTAAAAGCCCCTGAAGTGCCAGCTCAATGGAAAAGTCTCTATCACCAGAACCTGGAGGAACTTAAACCCTCCAGAAGAGAAAGTTCCCTCCTGAGGGGTCTGTCTGGGGGAAAAGGGCTAGAGACAGAGAAAGGAGACTCCAAACTTAAAAGGACAAAACTTATTTGTCCAGTGCCTTTCTGACACAGACAACTCTAAAGTGAGGTGAGACACACTGGGGCTGTTCTCTTTGACAGACTAAGATCATGAGCCTAGCGGGTCAAAAGAGTCCCCAGACTTCCTTAACCCAACTTGGGCCCCAGAGTCTAGGTGGGCTAACCAGTGTCCCCTAGGCAAGGTCTTATTCCTAGGGCAGGTCTTTCCAGGCTCACTCTATATCCTCCTAAAGGCGTTTCTGCAGATCCTGTCACAATAGGTCAACCACACTACCAACCCCAAGACTCGACGGGAGTCATTCATTCTTGGCTTCCATGTTCCTTCACAACTGGATGAGACTGCCTTATGAAAGACCAGGAAGACTGTGAGCCACTCTGGGCCAGTCAATACAACTGGGAAACAGCTTCCAGGACAGCAGCCAAGATGTCCCCACAGAAGATTGAGATTGAGCTGGTCTTGCATATTGTCACCCCCACAGAGAAGCAGCAGGTAGTTCCTGCCCCTCAGAAGCTCCTGGTCCCCTTTGTAACTATAAACAACACTTCCTGAAGCACTAGGAAAAGTCTCAAAGTAACAAAGTAGGAAATGCAAATTTCCAGTGCCTTTCCTTCCCTCAGCCATCTGTCCACTCTGCTTTTTTCTCATGTGGACTGCAGACTTCTGTCCAGTCAGACCCTTTCCCTCTGAGGTCTCTATTGGTCCATCCTGAAGGGACACGACCTCTGTGGACACAACTCCTGGCTGCAGTATCAGTCAAAGGCTCTACCTTAAATCTTAAGGAATCCTTTACAAGTCAGGAATGTACAAAAGGGAAAAGAGTGACACAGGACTTAGGGACAGAGGCACCCTGCCACACAGACTATAAACAAAAAGGTTGCTTTTTCCCATTTGAATGGAAAACAAAAAAAACAAAAAGACTCTCCAAAGCCATCTCAGAATGAGGGACCGGTGGCAGGTCAGGCACAAGGAAAACACCCCCCCAAGGAAAGAGTGCAGGTCCTGCCAGGGTACCCAGGAGAGCCAGAGGGTGCCCTGGAAGGTTCCTGCTGGTCAGCCCTCTTCTGCAGGGCTAGAACCCTGCAGGGATGAGTTCCCCTGGCGGTTGGAGGGCATAAGGAAGTGCAGGACTGCCTGGCCTCGGGAGTGGGTTTGCATGTGGACAGCCAGGTGGTGGTTCCGGTTGAAGGTCCGGCCACACTGGGGGCACTGGTAGGGTCGTTCGCCAGTGTGAATGCGCTGGTGACGGAAGAGATCTGAGGGCCGACGGAAGGCCTTGCCACAGTAGGGGCAGGCAGGCCAGCCCTGGCTGTTGCCTGTGTGCAGGCGCTGGTGAAGCAGCAGGCTTTTCCTCTGCTGGAAGAAGCGCAGACATTCACTGCAGTGGTAAACCTTGGTGGTTGCTGGCCTCCGCCCCATGAAGGCATGGCTTGTCAGGGAGCGGTGGCCTGTGGGTTCCTCAGGTAGCCAGCGGATGACAGGGCCAGGCACCACCACCTCCCCCGGTTCCAGTGTGGAGTGGTCTTCCCCCGACCCAAGAGGCGAGCCACTCCAAGCCTCCCTGTGTTCCTCCTCTACATGGGTCCGCTGATGGATTGTCAGATTAATCTTCAAGCGGAAGCTCTGCCCACAGTCAGGGCATGGAAATACCCGCTCCCGTGGGCGAGGAAGGACACGGGGTGACTCTCCCATAGCCTCTGATACCTGGGATTCCCCCATCCGCACCCTGGGCACTCCCTGGGCATGATGCCGCTTGGGGCCTCTAGTCCTGTTCCTGGGCCCTTTGGGGAGTCTACACTTGGGCTGGCTTGGGGACTCTAGGAGGAGTTGCTCAGGTACCATCTCGTCCTCAGACTGAGCTTCTGTCTTGATGGTCACACCACCACCACCTGGCAAAGGAAGTGATGTTGGTTCCAAGTGGATCACATGGCTCCCCATGCCATTTGATCCAGGTCTTGCTTCCAAGTTTGGCCCTGTTCCTCCCTTCCCCAAATCCATTTTTCTGTGAGTATCAACAGAGCAGGTCAGGGGTCCGGTTCACAGACTTCCTGGGGCAGGTACTGCCTCATGCATCAACATTTTTTGGGTTGTGTTTGGGCTTTTACGCCTCATTCCTGGAAACCAAGCTGAGAGCAGCAGAGAAGAAAGAAAGCTAAAAAGCCAAGTGCCAGGGAACCTGTGGGGTCAGGGATTAGACTGTGGGAGACAGACAGGTGGGATGGAGGTGGGGAGACACAGGGCAGAAACCCTGAGCATTGAGACACTCCAGCCATGGCAAAGGCACTGCCAGGACTCTAAGAGTTGTGATGATAATAGTTACAACCTGAGAAAAACAAGGAGTCCATGGTTCCCAACTGCCTCCAGACTATGGTTAAGAGGTCTCTGTGGGCCGAGTTGGGCTGTAATCCCAGCACTTGGGAGACTGAGATGTGAAGACTGCTATAAGCCTTGGCTACACAGTGATCTTAAAACCAGTCAGCTACACAGTAAGACCCCATCTCAAAAAAATAAAATAAAAGCTTCTGTGGTGTAGAGAAGGGAGTGACCTGTCAATATTCTGTTACTCATCCCAAGGAAATTCACTAGAGCACCCTACTGCCCTATCAGCCTGTGGGGCCTCCGTGCAGGTCCCCCCTGAATCAAGGGTGGTACAGAGACACTGAAACTCTAGGGACAGAGCTGTGAAAAGCACAGGCTGAGGCCATGACAGTGGTCTCCAAGTATTCTCTGGAGTCCTTAATGTGGAGAAGAAAGGGTCATTCACTGAGTCCTATCAGAAAAAGCATGGACTCCAGGCAGAGGGATTGACACTTAAACTGTAAGCTAACACTAGCAAAATGCAAGATGCCACAGGCAGTGAGCCGAGGCCACCTTGCAGGGTTACTGTGAGGAGCAGACCACATATACCACCTGTCACTAGCAGATCACAGCCTAATGACATGCAGCATGTTTTCAAGCAGGACTTTTCCAACCAGGCCAGTTCACCACAGGCTGACTCCCACTCCCAAGAGCCTCTGAGCCACAGCATAAGTGTCTTTTCCCTTCACTCACCTGGCCCCATGGAAGATGGGCTATCCATGGGAGGGGAGGCCAACAACTCACCCTCTGGAGATTCTCCCTCCTGTTTAATTGATAAAGTGCTGGTGCTTGCTGGAGGTCCTGTGAGAGGGAGAATGAGATGAGAGCCTCTGCTAACATGGGTTCCACACAGGCATGGCTATCTCCCCAGCAGGCCCTGGACATTCTTAAGGACCTGCTAGGAAGAACAGGTCCTCAGACTTCCATCTGGAGGGTTTCTGAGGTGAGAATAGTTATGAAGGTCACACCCCCATTCTATGTAGGTCCAGGCTCACAACTTGTCCCTCTGCATCTGACTATAACCCTCATTGACCTCAAAGTAACAGAGGGAGGCCCTAGGGCAGAGTCCCAGATCTGAGATGTGCAGGAACACATCCCAGATCTGAGATGTGCAGGTAGGACCCTCCTACCTAAGGGTCCTACCTGCAAATTCCCTGAGCAGAGTTTGAGACTACATACAGAGTTCCAGACTACAATCGCCCGGAAGAACATAGAGCAGGGAGGGGCAATCATGTGCAGTGAGGGAGCTGCACAGAAACCCCTGGGAGGAAAGCAACAGGGACTACATGAGGCCAGCAGCAAGAGGAAGAATAAGAGCAGGAGGGGCCAGCCCAGCCCAGTGCATGAGGCTCAATGCCTTCCATCTCAGAGAAGGCTGGACAGGGAACTGGCTGTAAACAGAAGTCACAGAACCCTGAATGCATGAATAAAGTACCAACAGGCCTTGGCAAAGAATAGTGAGAAAATGCAATATGCTAGCCTAGTATCACACTGGTGATGGGATTCATACCACCGTGCTGATATGACCATTGTAAAAAACTCTAGCAGCGGGGGCTGGAGAGATGGCTCAGCAGTTAAGCACACTAGCTGCTCTTGCAGAGGGCTTGGGTTCAATTCCCAGCACCCACATGGCAGCTAACAACCGTCCTAACACCAGTTCCAGGGGATCTGACGCTCTCGTCTGTCCTCAGAGAGCACTGCATGACACTGGTGCATTTACACACATGCAGGCATAACACTCATACACATTAAAAATAATTAAAAAAAAAAAAACAAAACTCCAGTAGATCCAATTCACATTCCTCCTGTGGCTCCATCAGACAGAAGTGCCCAAGCCGCCAACAGTACTATTCAAACATTTGTGAACAATGAAGATACTAAACTACCTTCTCTGAGACCTATCCTAGAGGCCATTTTCCAAGACCCCTACCCAGCACAACCCAACATCTAGCATGGTTTCCCAGTGCCCCGTGTTCAGTGCCAATGCTGACGACTTCACTTTTGCTGTCCAGCCATGCTCACTCACCAGTGCCTGACCCATGTGCAATCACCTTTGACTCTTCATCTTGCGGCTGCTCGGGGACCAGCCTTTCTTTCGGCTCCTCCTGGGCAGGGCTGGCTGGGTTTGGGGCCCACTCTGGACATGGAGGGATGCCTGGGAATGTAAACCAATGACACTGAGCACAATATCAAGCTCTCCCAGCCAGGTGGCCAAAGACTCTAGGATATCAGACCAAAGACAGGATGTGATAAAGTGGCTATGCCCATCGCTCTGAAGAATTCCCTGCCATACTGGTCTAAAGTCTTCATGTCCAAAAGGACTGTGCAGAATGGGGAGTTCTGATAAGAGTGCCCAACAGGGCATGAGAACAGAGTTGAGAACCTGGCTGTTACAGGCAGGGAGGAGAAATGCACACTGCATATGCCAGCAGCCATCAGGGTGGCTGCTGCCTTCTGCTCCAAGCTGCTCTCCATAGTGCCAAGGAGCCCAAAGGCACATTACAGATGACACTTCCAAATATTTTTTCAACCCCACACCTGCCTTCCTCTTACCTCTGAGTCCACACAAGTTGTTTGCTCAGAGCCTACCTCCTAGCACATTCCTAACAACCCAGTAGTCAGTGAAACTTCATGACAAGTGCCCCCTCCCAGAAGAAACAGAGCTCTGGGGATGGGGGAGTTTCTTTCTTTCCTTTAAACAAAATTATTGTGCCAGGTATGGTGATGCCACACCTTTAGAATCCCAGCACTCAAGGAGGTGGAGGAGGCTGATCTGTGAGTTCCAAGCCAGCCTGGGGAGGTGGGGGGTACACACATGCAGTATGGTGATGCCACACCTTTAGAATCCCAGCACTCAAGGAGGTGGAGGCAAGCTGATCTGTGAGTTCCAAGCCAGCCTGGGGAGGTGGGGGGTACACACATGCTATGGCTTGTATGTGGAGGTCAGAGGGCAACCTTCAGGAGTTGGTTCTTTCCTTCCACTGTGGGTTCCTGGAACTGAACTCAGATCAACAGGCTCTCGTGGCACTGAGCCATCTCACCTGCCTATTTGTCGGTTTTTAGAGATTGGGCCTTATACATTCCAGGGTGGTCTTGAACTCACTATGTAGCCAAGGATGACCTTGAACTTCTAATTTTCCTACCTCCTCCTCCCCATTGCTGGGGTTATAAGCATGTAGTACCATACCCGGTTTCTGTGATACAGGAGATCAAACCAATGCTCTCTGCCATGCTAAGTACTCTACCAAGTCAGCTTAGTCAATTCTCCCTTCCTTCTTCCCTGGAAAAAAAAATATGAAGAGAAAGAAATGTACTATGAGCAGGGTCCAGGGAACAAGGATGGCTAAGAGATACACAAAAGCACCCAAGCAGGGCCTCTCTACTCTGCCTCAATCAGCATTTCTCTCCAACAGGAACTGGTAACTCCACCTAGTGTCATGAGCAGTGAAAAAAAAAAATTTGCTGGACCTGTAACTGACAATGCCACTGCTGAGTCCCCTTCACATACAAGGGTGCAGTGCTGGACTCCAGTGGGTCATTGTTCATAGTCATGACACCTGGAACTGTCACTAGACCCTAATAATGTCACTTCCATAATAAACCTAAAAATAGGCACTTCAGCTGGGCTGGATGTGGTAGTCACACCTACAATCCCAGTGCTAAGGAAGCTCTGGCAGGAAGATTGTCGAGTTAAAGGACAGCCTAGGCTATGTAGTGAATTACAGGTCATTCTGGGCTACAATGTAAGACCTTTCTTAAAAGTAAACAGGGCCAGCGGATTGCTCATGGGGGAAAGATGTATGCTACCAAGTCTAACAGCCTGAGTTCGATCCCTGGAACCCGCAGGGTGACAGGAGAGAACTGGATCTTGCAACTGTTGTTGCTGTCCTCTGACCTCTGTGTGCACATACTGTACCAATAAATGTAATTAAAAAAAAAAAAAAAAAAAAAAAACCCTTAATTTCTGATTTGAAAACTCCCCTTGGTACGCCCATGTGGTACAAGAAATTGATCAGAGCTCAAAAAGATCTGCATTTCTAGAACCAGCTATTGGAACATTGTAAGAGGCAGGCAAGACCTATCTGTGTGGCCCTTTTGAGGACACCAACCTATGTGCTGTTATCCATGCCAAACATACAGCAATTAAACCAAAAGCTATCCAGACAACGTACTTGGAGGATGCGCTTAAGAATCTACTATCAGAAGACTATACTTCCAGGGATCATTTCTATAGTTTGTTACTAGAAAAGTTTTTCTGACTGTGTAGAGTACCAGAAACCATGAGAAGGAGATGCAGTGTTCTCTCCTGAGGGTGAAGCTGGCTTGGGTGTTGCTCTTAGGCAGCTGCCTTTTGCTACTGATGATCATTCTGCTCTGCCTCAGACTAGAGAGCTGGCTCAGTGGTTAAGGTCCAGAGGACCTGAGTTTGGTTCCTAACACCCACATATGACGACTCAACTGCCTGTAATTCCAGTTCCAGGGGATCTGAAACTGTTTTCTGGCCTCCACAGGTACCCACACAGATGTGGCATACTCTGACATAGACATGTACACATAAATAAAAATAAATCTTTAAAAAAAATTCATGGGGGCTGGAGAGATGGCTCAGCAGTTAAAAGCACTGGCTGCTCTTGCAGAGGACCCAGGTTCAATTCCCAACATCCACATGGCAGCTATGAACCATCTTTAACTCTAGTTCCAGGGGAATCCGAGGCCCTCTTCTGACCTCCAAGGCATTGCATGACATGGTGCACTCACATACATGCAGGCAATACACTCATACACATTTTAAAAAAAAAAAAAGGAAAGAAAGAAAAAGAGGAGACAGAAGTCAGGTGGTAGCAGATGTTCCATTTGTGAGTTTTTAAGATAAATGTGGGGCTTTCAGCAGTTCAACTTTATAACAATAATAAATCAACCTGTCACTTTTTTCTGGACAAATGTCAGCATTTGGAGGCTATAAATGCACCAAGTTTTTATTCTAAGAACTGATGAAAGAATTAAGCTCCTATTCTCCATTTTTCCCTATTATAATTCAAGGGTAACTAAGAAGGCCAATTAGAGAAAGTGTTCTATACAAGAGAATTTCAGAAACTAAATGCAGAAATGACAGAATTTAACCATACTGCAACCTTCAATGAATCTACAAAGAATCCATAGTCAGGGAGGTGGCTCACACCTTAATTCCAGCACTTAGGAAGCTGAGACAGAAGAGTTACCACAAGTTCCAGGCCAGGCTGGGCTACATAACAATACCCATCATAAAATAAATTAGAATGTGGTAATAGTTACACAAATCTTGTGAACATACTAAAATCCACAGGTTAACTGCAGAATTGCCAGGTGTGGTGGTACACACCTTTAATCCTAGCACTTGGGAGGCAGAGGCCGGTCTCTGTGAGATGGAGGCCAGCATGGTCTTCATAGCAGATTCAAGGCCGCCAGCCAGGGTTACATAGTGAGACCCTATCTAAACAAAACAAAACAAAAATCCCCACAGAACTATATAATTCACTGAATGTATTGTGTGTGTGTGTGTGTGTGTGTACAATGCATGTTTGTGGTACTGGGATTGAATCTAGCACCTTACGCATGCTAGGGATAAGTTCTAACATGAAGCTACATCCCCAGCTATTTCCACATTTTTAAAATTTTTATTCAACTTCTTGAATCTTTTTAACTTTTTAATTATTGTTGTGTGAGGTTCTGGATGAAATACAGGTTCAGGATCAAACTCAAGTCATCAGGGAAAGCAAGCACTGTTACTAGCTGAGCCATCTCACCAATCTTATTTTCACTTTTTGAGACAGAGACTCACACAGTTGCCCACAATGGCCTTGTGTATCGAACAGACTTTGACTTGTGATCCTCCTGCCTCAGCCTCCAAAGTAGTTGGGATTACAGCCCTATCTATAAGCACAGCTTTATTTGGTAAAGGTTTTTTTGTTTTGTTTTGGTTTCAGCTTTTTGAGACAGGGTCTCATATATCCCCAGCTAGCCTCGAACTTGCTATGTAGCCAAAGCTTCCTTGAACTTCTGATCCTTACCTGGCTATTTTGTTTCTGTAACAATTCACAATTCTTCCATCTCAGGCCCAGAGATGCTTGGGTTATAGGAACAAAGAATTATATACTTTACTAGGTGATTGTGGGGCTGGAGAAATGGCTCGGCAGTTAAGAGCAGGTTTGAGTCCCAGCATTCACAGGGAAGCTAACAACCATCCATAACTCCAGTTCCAGGGGAATCTGACACCCTCTTCTGACATCCACAGGTATTGCACAACACAGGCAATACAGTCATACACACACAAAAAAAATAATAATTTTTTTTTCTAAAAAATAGATAAATTGGGGCTGGAAAGATGGCTCAGAGGTTAAGAGCACTGGATGCTCTTGTAGGGACCTGGGTTCGGTTCCCAGCACCCAAAACTGTCTACGACTCCAACCCAAGGGGATGTGTTGCCTTCTTCTGACCTCAGTGAGTACTGCACAACACAGGTACACTTATACACATGCAGGCAATAAACTCATACACATAAAAAATAAAAATAGGGGCTAGAGAAATGGCTCAGAGGTTAAAAGCACTGGCTGCTCTTGCAGAAGACCTAAGTTTGAATCCCAACACCAACATGGTGGCTAAGAACCATCCATACCATCCCTAACTGCAGTTCCAGGGGACAACATGCCCTCTTCTGACCTTCACGGGCTTTGCCCAACAGAGGTGCACTCGCATACATGCAGGGATAATACTTACACACATCAAATAAAAAATAAAAGCTGGGCATGGTGGTACATGCCTTTAATACCAGCACTTGGGAGGCAAAGGCAGGTGGATCTCTGTGAGTTCAAGGCCAGCCTGGTCTACATAATGAGTTGAAAATGTGGGGGAGCTTAATGGAGTTTTTACAGATTTAAGAGACATATAAACCCAATGCAGTAAATATGTAGACTTTGGGGCAAAATCTCAATCACTAATTTTTTTTTTTTTTTTTTTGAGAAAGGGTCTCACTCTGTAGCCCAGGCTGGCCTGGAATTCACTTCAAAGGTAAATGATAATCATTTAGTAGCTTATTTTCTGGTTCTAATTTGGCTTATGTTTATGTATTTTTTAAGAGCTTTCAGAGGACTTAATAACACAGTCACCTTTGGAGCCATTGTCCCACATACCAGCTATGGGAAGGGCAGTACTCAGGCCTGTCCCCAAGAGCCTATCCCGGAGACAAACACAAGTGTAGCCATAACCCTGTTGTAGGCAGTGATCGGGGCAGGTGGACATGGGCACCACTGAAGGCAGCACATGATACCACTGTGCTTTACCTTACTGAGCACTGGCCCACTGAGTCCTTGCCCTGTATTTGCCATCTCTGGCCTCACAACCAGCCCTTTTATGCTGGTGCCACCTGTACAGAAGCAGAACCCATACAGCTCTAGGGAGAATTACCATCTACTCCTGCTCAGAATGGCCCTAAACACAGCACAGACCACACTGGGTTAAGGCCCTGTGCTCCCTCTCCAGTTCCCAGATTGTCCAGTACGTCCAGGAAGGTGGGGTATTGTTCACTTTGCATCAGTTCCCATCATGTGCCAATACTCACCAGTGCCTGGTTTCTGTGGGCATGCTGCCTTCTCCTCATTCCCCCACTCCTGGCACCAGAAGCCTTCAGGACAAGGCTCCACTCCTCTCTCTATCCGGGTGAGGATGTCTGGTTTGGAGATGGCATAATCTGCACACAGAATGGGGAGGGGGTGGGAAAAGGGCTGGGTCTAGGGGCCAAAGCAGAGAAGCAAAGACTGCAGGATGGAGGCCCAGGAAGCTGTCCCTGGATGGAGGGAGGCCCAGGAAGCCGTCCCTGGATGGAGGCTCAGATACTCTTCTGTTGCCTTACCCAGGGAGACCAGCATCTCATAGTTGCCCTGCATCACGTGCTTGTAGAGATCCTTCTGCCAATCTTCCAGCTTGCCCCACTCCGACTCAGAGAAATACACAGCCACATCATCAAAGGTCATGGGCACCTGAAACCAGAGTTTCACATTCACTCACCCACTTACAGGTATGGGCCCTTGGGCTCCCCATCTCAAAGGCTACCTTTGGGACCTCGCCCTTGCTGCCAGGGGGCAACCGCAGGATCCAGAAGTTCCTGTTGCGTAGCAGGTTCTCCACATTCTCCACACGCCGCTGTAGCAGCCCATACTCCTGTGGTAGGGTCCCCAGCATGGCCCACTTGCCCTCCAGCTGGCTCCTGAACTCCACAGCTGTCTTCTCAAAGTCAGCCAGCTTCTTCTCAGCTGTGCCTGATCGTCCCTCTAGAGTCAGCAATCGGGCCAGGCAAGACTCTACTTTCTTCTCCAAGGCCTGAATGGCAGCCACCACAGTCCACAGTGTAATCTCTGTGGAGTAAAGGTACGAATTCTTCTCTGCATCTGGCTGGGGTGAGGAAGGGGTGGGAAGCTTCTCCTCACTCATCTGCTGGTCCCTCTCAGAAATCTGTACAGTAAGAGAAAAGAGAAAATCTTAGTCAAAATAGCCATCAAGAAAGCAAGGCATGGTGGTACACACTTGTAATCCCATCATTCACAAAGCTGAGGAGGAAGTTTGCCATGAGTTCAAGGCCAGCTTGAGCTATACAGTGAGTTCCAGGCCTGCCTAAACTATAGAGTTAAGGACAAACACCCCCCCCCCCAAATGGCTCACACTTTTAACTCCAGCACGCAGGACGCAGAGGCAGGCAGATCCCTGAGTTCGAGGTCAAGCCTGGTCTACATAGGAAGTTCTACTCCCAGCTAGGGCCACATAGTAAGACTCTGTCTCAAAAAAAAAAAAAAGAAAAAAGAAAAAAGAAACCGCCATCTCAGAAGAGCCAAAGCAGATCTAGCCTGTTGGGAAGTTTCTTGGGATATTAGGTGCTGCAAAACAGTCAGGAGAAAGAAGCAGGCAAACAGATCAGGAAGGAACAAACATGTCATCTGCACAGGTACAGAAAAGCCCTCCAGCCCCACCCCCATCTCCCTTGAACTCAGGGAACTCAAAGACACACAGCAAACCAAAGGGAAAGAGAGGTTCCCTTCCAAAAGCATCAACTTCGTTGAGATGTAGTAATAGTAGATACCACTTACTGGGCTTTTTACAAGTATTCTAGAAAGGGCAAAATGACCAAAAGATTTTATTTTCTCTGAATGTGTATTGCACATTTATCAATCTAGCATTCTAAAACTGCTAATCTTAAAAAAAAAAAAAAAAAAAAAAAAAAAAAAAAAAAAGGCACAAAGCAAAAAAGAAGCAGAAACCTGTTGCCAACAGGGTTGGGAATTATTCACGTATATAAAAGTAGAATTATTGGGTATTTCAAAGGTGTTTTCATACAGTCTTGGCCAGGGCCCCAAGCACAACAACCACCTGTGCCTCGGAGGATGTGGCGGGCTGGCCACAGACCCTCCCTCCCGGCCTGCTCAACCCGGGCCTCTAGTCAAACAATGGACCGTGAGGTCAGCAGGGCCCTTCACGACCCTGGGGGGGATCTGGGCGCGCGGCGTGGCGCAGCTGCGGGGTGCCAGGTGCTGGCGCCCGTCGTCGGGGCACGGCCCGCCAGGTCTGGCGTTTGGGCCGCCCGCCGTGGGCTCGGGGCCGATGGCCTCGGCGGCCTCCACGGCCTCCCAGCGGGCAGGGCGGAGCGGGTAGGGCCGGGGCGCTCCCGAGGCCCGGCGGCCCGAGACCCGTCCTTCCGCGCGCGTCGGCCCTGTCCCGCGGCGTCCACGGCCGGGGCGCTTACCCGGGGGGCCGCTGCTTCGGCCATAGCTGCGGCGTCTCTCAGCGCCGCGGTTCCTGCGCCGACAGGTCGGGCCTGGAGCGGGCGGCCGGGCTGCGGGCGGAGCCGGAGCGGCCCAGCCTCGGAGCAGCGCAGGAGCGGCCGCGAGCGGAGTCCCAGCCACGTGCCCCGTTGGCCCTTTAAAAAGAGCTGCCGTGGGCGGCTGCGCCCCGGGGCTCGCACAGCGCCCCCTGCAGCCCGAAGGACCGTACGCCGGACCGCCTCCAGCGCCCTTCCCTCCGCGCGGCCCCCACGGCCCAGGCGACGCGGGCCGGTCTCTCTGCTCAGGAAATGTCGAGGCTTGGGGAGGAGACACCTGCACGGTCCCCACCCCCACGGTTTCCTCCGGGTTCGTCCTAAGGGTGTTCAGATTGGCTGTTTTAGGACCTCCGACCTAAAGACGGCAAACAAAGACGGCTTTGTATTGTTTAAGGTTTTTAAACTCCCCTTTCGGTTTTTTTTCACACCAAATGGAAAGGCCTATGGGAAGTATTCCATTTCAAACAAAACGCAAGCTAGGCCTGGGGTGTCCCACAATGCAAAACTTATCTGCCATGCATGCGCTGCGGGGACTCCTCCTCTCCCCCAACCCCGTTTTCCAGTCTCTTAAACTCCAGGATTTGTGAGTCTTCTTGCTCACCCTTTCCGGAGGCGCTCGTTCCGCGCCGTCCTTTCTGCCGCACCCAGCCTGGACTTGCATGTGGCACCAGCTGGGCATCCTGTTAGTCTTGGCTCCAGGTTGGATCCAGTGTTGGCCATCCCTGCCCTCCAGGCCTGCCAGCAGGCCTCAAATGTAACAGTGCACAGGGCCGCAGCAACGCAAGGTCCGCCGCCACCAATTCAGACCCTGAGGTTTCCTGAATAAACCAGTTGTTCATTTAGGACCAGTTTCCTTCTGAAACCAGAAAGCCTCACTCTGGAAAGCCAGACTTAACCCTTGACTATAAAGTAAAATGTGTGTGTGTGGGGGGGTCCTTCCATTTCCTGCATTTTCCATTCATGTCTTTGCCTAATAATCCAATAAACTTCCCACTTGCTTGTATGTTTGGGTTTGTTTTCAGGGGGAGGTGGGGAGAGGATAAGCTCCACAACAAACTAAAGTGACCACAAGGACACAAAGAAACATACCCTCTCTCTAAGGTGCACCCCTGGAATTTACAACAAAGTGAGGAGGTGCTACTTTGAGTTACATCAAAAAATAAAACTAGAGTTATAGCATGCTTAACTCTTTGTAACAAGATCCAAATCAATATTTAGCATTATTCATTTTGTTTTGTTGGTTTTGGGTTTTTGTTTTTTGTTTTTTTTTTTCAGAAAGGGTCTTCCTGTAGCCAGTTGACCTGAAACTCACTATGTAGACTAGGCTGGCCTTGATCTCACAGAGATCCCCTGGTCTCTGTCTCTAGAGTGCTGGGATTAAAGGGGTGTGCCACCACACTCAGCAGTATTAGTATTTGAAAGGTCACAATTTATCAGCATTTTATAGTCTTAAATATATTGGACTGACTTTGATGAGATCCTACTAAAATTCCTAATATCTTGAGCACATATCTGCATGTTGTCTCTTAAGTGACTTTGGCAAGAATTCCTAAAGTGAGTGTGGTGTGGTGGCACAAACCTGCAGTCCTGGCACTGGGGAGGCTGAAGCAGAAGGATCATGAGTCCAGGTTGTACTACATAACAAAATCCTGCTTAGTGAGTTCCAGGCAGCGGGGGGTAAGGGAGGGTTGATTTTAGTATTTTTTTTTAAGAATGCAATTTAAAATATTTAATTAAAAATTAAAAAAAAAATTTTATGTATATGAATGTGCTACCTGCATGTACCTAAGTGTACCACTGTAGTGCAAAGCCCATGGAGTCAAGAAGAGAGTATTGGATCCCCTACTATAGCTAAGGATGGCTGTTAGCCTCCATGTGGTGCTGGGAACAACCTGGGTCCTTTGCTGAGGCCATCTCTCCAGCTTCTAAACATTTTTTTATCTTTGTGTATATATACACACAAACACACACCGTGTATGTATTGGTACCTTGGGAGGCTAGAAGAGGGTGTTGAATCCCCTGGAAAAGATGCCTGATGTGGTCTGGATGCTAGTAATGAAACTGTGTCCTTTGGAAGAACTCTTAGCTGCTGAGCCATCTCTCCAACTCCCTAAGTTTTTGACAGTTGCTGTTAGTGTTTTGTTTTGGTTTGTTGGTTTATTTGTTTGGTCTGTTTGAGATACAATCTCCCTATAGCCCCAGCTGGCCTGGAACTTACTGTGTAGATCAGGCTGGCCTCCATTTCACAGAGATTCGTCTGCTTCTGTCTCTCAAGTGCTGATATTATAAGCATGTGCCATCAAGCCTGGCTTGCTATTAGTGTTTTAGAAGCTACCTCTGGAGTCTGCATAGTGGTGAACGCCTGTAATCCCAGCACTCTGGAGGCTGAGGCAAGAAGATGACCCCAGAGCAGCCTGAGCCATATAGTGAGTACTAGGCCAGCTGGGGATACATAGCAAGATCTTGTCAAAAATAAAAACAAAGCTGGGTGTGGTGGCACACACCTTTAGTCCCAGCACTTGGTAGGCAGAGACAGGTAGATCTCTGTGAGTTCAAGGCCAGCCTGGTCTACACACTGAGTTCCAGGCCAGCTGGGGCTACAAGAGACCCTGTCTCAAAAAGACCAAATAATTAATAATATAAATAAATAAAAACAAAAAAAAGAACAAATTTCCTCTACATCAGTGGTACTTAAATGTCAAGGCACATCAAGATTACCTCAGGTGCCTGTTAAGACATAACTGGGTACAACCCAAAGGAGGTAAGAGTGATGAGAATTTGCACTGCTGTCTAGTTCCCAGAAAGCACTGGTTTATAAAGCCAGAGGTTAGTAAGGGAATCACTCCCCTGTGTATCAGCTCCCAAAGCTATCTACTATTCAGTGATGATTTTATGTTAAAAACACACATTTTGCACTAAAATGTGATTTCCTGAGCAGACCAGCCTGGGTTTGTTAGGCCATTGTAGCTCTGGTATAAATTTGAATTACTTTCATAATTATTTTATTTCATTTTTTTATCTTTTTGAGACAGAGTCCCCTTGTAGCCTCAGCTGTCCTCGAACTTGCTATGTAGACCATGCTGGCCTTGTACTGACAGAGATTTGCCTGCCTCTGCCTCCCAAGTGCTGGGTGTAATTATTATCTTTTTAAAAATATTTTATTATTTTTATGTGTGTGAGTGTATTGCTTACATGTGTGCAAGTATACCCATGTTGTGCAATGCCAGAGGAAGTCAGAAGATGGCATTTGATCCCCCTGGAACCGGAGTTATAGATGGTTGTTAGCCACCATGTGGGTGCTGGGAATTGAACCTGTGTTCTCTGCAAGAGCAGCCACTGTTGTTAAGTGCTGAACCATCTGTCCAAAAGAAAGCTTTTCTTTTTTTTTTTCATCAGATTGCTTGGGTACTTTTGGGTGAGCTTGTAAGGGGCCCCTAGAATTAAGATATTTTAACATTTTTCGGCTCTAGCTCCTTATAGGAAATGTCATCTGTCATCATTCTAGGAATGAAAACAGCCTCACCCAAAAGCTCAGGCTCCTGGAGACAGAGTTTATTGCTAAGCTCAGACAGTTGGGGCACTCAGCTAAATCTACAAAGGCTTACTTCCTGGCTTTTATTTCATCCTTTCTATAAATTATACCACCACTATGGCTATGGAGAGATGGAGACTGCCCATTTTAAAGTAAATTATTATTTTTTTTTATATTTCCTAGAACTCAGTGTAGACCAGGCTGGCCTTGAACTCACAGATATCTGCCTGCCTGCCTCTGTCTGCCTAGTGCTGGGACTAAAGGCTAAAGGCATGTGCCACCACACCTGGCATAAATTCTTTTTTTTTTTCGGTGCTGGAGAGATGACTCAGCAGTTGAGAACATTGTTCTTGCAGAAGTTTTGAATCCCAGCACCCACATGGCAGCTAACAAGTGTCCGAAACTCCAGTTCCAGGGGAGCCCACAGCCTCTTCTGTCCTCCTTGGGCATTGCACAATACAGATGCATTTACCTACATGCAGGCATAACACTCATACACATGAAATAAAAATAATAAAATATTTTTTAAAAAATAAACAGGGGTTGGGGATTTAGCTCAGTGGTAGAGTGCTTGCCTAGCAAACGCAAGGCTCTGGGTTCAGTCCTCAGCTCCAGAAAAAAAAAGACAAAATAAAAAAATAAAAATAAGCCAGGCGTGGTGGCACTCGCCTGTAGTCCCAGCACTTGGGAGGCAGAGGCAGGCGGATCTCTGTGAGTTCAAGGCCAGCCTGGTCTACATAGTGAGTTCTGGGGCAGCTGGGGCTACAGGGAGACCCTGCTTCAAAAAGACAAAAATAAATAAATAAAATAAAAATAAATTCTTTTTTCCTCATTCTCTTTCTCTGCCCCACCCCCGCCCGCCAGCCTACGGCCCCCTTTGAGATAGGGTTTCACTCTGTAGCTCAGACTGACCTGAAACTCCATATATAGCCCAGGTGGGCCTTGAACTTATGGTGATCGTTGGGCCTCAGCCCACTACTCCCATCCCAGTATTGGGATTACAGGTATGAGCCACCATTTCTGGCTTACTCATTTTCTCTTAATGCAGGTGATCATTCATACACAAGAAAGGCCTTATTTGCTGGAGGCTCCAGAAACTGACAACAGTTATGAACTGACCCTTGGGATTTCTAAAGTAGGGGCCAAGACCCTTGACTAATAGGTACAGGTCACTCTGAAACAGCCAGCTCTCGGCCTCTGCTGCAGGAAGTGGGCTCATCAGAAACTAAGGGCTACCACTATCACTAACTTAGGATCACTCTTGAGTATGAGGTCAGGGTATTTGTGCTAGATAACTTTAGCTATCAGCTTGACACACCTAGGAAGAAGGAACCTCAGTTGGGGAATTGTCTCTATTGGACTGGCCTATGGGTATTTATATGAGGTATTTTCTTGATTGTTACATGATGTAGGAGGGTTCAACCTACTATGGGTGGTGCCACCCCTGGGCAGGTGGTCCTGGGTTATATAAGAAAACAGACTGAACAAAGGAAGTCAGTAAGACACATCCTCCATGGTCTCTGCATTAGCTCCTGCTTCCAGGTTCCCGTCCTGACTTGAGTCCCTGCCCTGATTTCCCTCAGGGATGGACTGTGACACCTGGGAATTGCAAACTGAAATAAACCCTTTCGCCCCAACTTGCTTTTGGTCCATGTTTTATCCCAGCAACAGAAAG